GTTAGCTACCTTTAGTTAGAACTATTTTAATGCTGGAACTACAAAGTCAAGTTAATATTGAAATTAGCGTCAGCTAACATCAGCTAACAAAGTCACCTCATTTCTCCATTGTAATTTTACTGAAGTTAGTGCATGGAGTGGATTATCTTCTCTTAAAATTACTTAAATGGCTTTTATTCTTTTTCTGCTTCACAGTGTTGAATATTAGCTAGCAAAGCTGCATTAAGCAAGTCCTGATATGCATCGTCTCAGAACTTGTTTTCAGCATACCCACTTAAACGAGTGCAGTGTAACCATGGAATTAGGTGTAGCACACAGTCGTATGAAAAAATCTGAACACCGCCAGTCAAATGGCATGTTCTGAAGTGAAAATGAGTTAAAACATCTTCCACAGAGAACATAATCAGGGCACAATTTCCTTTTATTCGCTGAGTTTAACATATTGGAACACAATAAAACCTAAAAAATATATGTGCTTTAACTTTTGCACTGGCAACTTTTTTTATGTTTTATTTTCATCTGTTAAATTCAGCAAACAAACAGCAACTGTGCATTAAAATGTGCAGACGTTTGTCCTCTGTAGAGGATGTGTTAACTTAGGTTAGCCTACTGTTCCCTATATCGGTGGTGAAGTTCTAGTTCAGACGGAGTTTTGTTAATTAGTCCATGTTATCCTTCTCTTTATTTCATCTGGATCATGACAGCAAGAGCAGACCTAACCTATTTAGCGCTTTCTCCCACTATTAACAGCTAATGTAAAAGTGCGGGGGACAAAATTTGAATTCTGAGAAGTTCCCCCTGTGCCAGTGATACAGCACACATGCCTTGACACACACACACACACACTTTTCAAGCTCCCCCTAAAAGCCCACTTCAACTCTCAAGTCAATCTCCTCTCCCCTATTCAAAGGCAATGTCTTTTTGCCATGGTAAAGAGGCCATAGAGGTAATCCTAACAGATCTTTCTGGGCCCGAGGGTTTTCAGGCCAGTCGTTTGCGTTGCATAAAAGTGTACTAACTGTCGGGCAGAGGGGGCTTTCATTCACAAAGAGGGGGCTCATTCACCTTGTATTCATATGTGAATGTGTGTGGTGTGTGTGCGTGTGTGTAGAGGGGGAGGATCACCATTCAGCTGCTAATGTAATGACATCTTCATTTCCACACGCACAGAAGGCAGGCGACGGCCCACTCTGTGTGTGTGTGTGTGTGTGTGTGTGTGTGTGTGGTGCAGAGAAAAGCCATCAAACACTCTAGCAGTGATAGAAAAGGGAAGAATGAACCATGACTATAAACTAGGGGTTTAAATCTCTCTTGCAACAAATTAATTATGACTCATTATTAAATTAGTCAATAAATTATTCACAGAATCATGAAATCTCACATTTCAAACAATTCAATATGATTACAACGCTTTACAAAATGATTCACTGGTTTAATGATTGATATTTTCAAACATGATCCAGTATACTGAACTACAATAAAAAAAACATTCGACGCATAATGAAAACTCACATTTCAAAATTATTATAAAGTATTAGGAAATAATTGTGTATTAAGACTTGATTGATTTATGATTCTTTAAGAAATAATTCAGCAAATCATGAAATTTCAAAAATCAAAACTCAAAATGATTCAATTTGAACAAAGGTTCAGTGTATTATTACACGGCTAAATTACGATTCTTTAAGAAATGATTAAATGCATTACAAAATCTCATATTTCAAAATAATGCTATTTATGATGCTTCAGGTAATGATTCAGTGTATTATGATTCTTTTCAATTACAATTATTTCACTTTGATCCTATTCACTTTGATTATTCTGTTACACAAACGTGACGGGAGCCTTTTCGTTTATTTCCATTTGAAAATACTCTGATACTCTTTACTGAATATCATTTTAATTTATTACCATGGATTTTAACTTCCCAAAAAATCGATGCAGATACTTCAGGACTCTTTTCAGATACTTCAAGACATTTGAAAAGTGCCTGATAGACAAAATCCTCTGTTACTGATTTATGAAACTGAAGTCCAAGTTGGCTTTGTATGTCAATCAAAGTCAATCTATCAATCACTCAAAGTTGCCAGATGTCTCCTCCCCTTTTTAGTCAGCCCTGTTTTCTGACAGCTCATTTAAAGCAGTGGTTCAGCCAAGTTAAATTTACACAATTTTCCTCTCTAACAGCAAAGACATTTGTGGTGTCTGAAGTCTGATTCTTTAGTTTTGCACTGGAGCTATGGGGATAACTTGTGTTGCATTGTCCAATAATCTCAAATACAACTCTGTTAACAAAAAACGTTGGGATGCTGTGTTAAAAAAAAGTACATAAACAGAGTGCAACAATGTACAAATCATTTAAATGCTATATTTAATTGAAAATAGTACAAAGACAACATATCAAATGTTTAAACAAGTGTCTGGAAACTGAGGACATCAATTGCTGTAGTTTTTAAAGTGAAATGTTTTCTCATTCTTGATTGATATAGGATTACAGCTGGTCAACCATTCAGGGACTCCTTTGCCATATTTTTCATTTCATAACGTGGCAAATGTTTTAAGTGGGTGATAGGTTGGGCTGCAGGTGGGCCAGTTTAGCACCGGACTCTTTTACTATAGAGCCATGCTGCTGTAATACATGCAGAATGTGGTTTACCATTGTCTTTCTGAAATAATCAAGGCCTTTACTGATAAAGACGTTGCCTAGATGGCAGCATATGTTGCTCCAAGACCTGTATATATTGTTCAGCATTAATGATGCCTCCACAGATGTGCAAGTACCATCACAGATGCTGGCTTCTGAATTGTGTACTGATAACAAGCTGGATGGTCACTCTCCTATTTAGCCCTGAAGATGTGGATCCATGATTTCCAAAAAGAATTTCGAATTTGCTTTGCCTCAGTCCATCTTAAATGAGCTTGGGCCCAGAGAAGGCAGCAGTGTTTCTGGATCCTGTTTAAATATGGTTTCTTCTCTGCATGGTGGATTTTTAACTTGCATTTGTGGATGCAGCGACAAACTGTGTTTACAGACAGAGGTTTTCAGAAGTGTTTCTGAGCCCATGCAGTGATTTCCACAGCATAATCATGTCTGTTTTTAACGTACTGCCACCTCAGGGCCCAAAGATCACGGCCAGCCAATATTGTTTTTTGGCCTTGTTCCTTGCATACAGAGATTTCTCTGGATTCTCTGAATCTTTTAAAGTTATTATGAATCATAGATGATAAAATCCCCAAGTTCTTTGCTATTTTACGTTGAGAAATGTTATTCTTGAATTGTTGCACTATTTGCTCATGCAGTCATTCACAGAGTGGTGAACTCCTCCCCATCTTTTCTTCTGAAAGACTCAGCCTCTCTGGGATGCTGCTTTTTTTTATACCCAATCATGTTACTGACCTGTTGCTAATTAACCTAATTAGGTGTGAGATGTTCAACCAGATGCTTTTTTAGTATTTCACAATTTTACCTGGCTTTTGTTGCACCCATCTCACCTTTTTTTAAATGTGTTGCTGGCATCAAAATCAAAACCTGGATATATTTTTCATTAAACAATGAACTTTCTCATTTTAGATGTTGTCTTTGTACTATTTTTAATTAAATGTGGGTTTAAATGATTTGCACATCATTGCATTCTGTTTTTGCTTACATTTGCACAGCATCCCAACTTTTTGGAAAAGGGGTTGTACTCGCTTATGCAGTTTCTGACAACGTATGACTAACTGCTATCTACAAAAGTGGAAAAAGTACAGACAGAATTCAGGCTGCCACTGCTATGCAACATAATTTTAAAATTCTTTTGCATACTTTTTGTTGTTTTTTTTAATGTAGTACATGACGTAGGTACATTGCTCTCCACCGCCCTGTGTTTCTACTGAACAATTTCAGTTAACAGGAGAGTTTATGAAAGTTAAACAGTAAGCGCTTGTGAATTTTAATAAAGCATGTTTTGATAACAAGACGCGTGTTTGTTACTCTTAGATACCAGTAACAGGTGATAAAACTCATGACTGAGTGAAGGACATCTCATTTGGTGAACGTTTGGGGTCAAATGTTCCTCCACCCGTGTAACTGGTCTTTGCATTTCTTCTCAGAGGGAGGAGCTAAGATGCAAGCAAATAGTTTTCAGGTAGCAAGCAAATGCAGTATACTGAGCTTATGGATTTTAATTCAAATTAACTCAACTTAATTCAGGCCTGTTGGAAAAGTCTCTTAAATGGCTCCCAATGAAGCTGCCTAAGAGACCGGCAAGAGGAAGGGTTAGCGTGAAGAAACAAAGACAGATTTTTTTTTATTTGTTTTTGACTATCATGACACAATTCCATATATGTTATTTCATAGTTCTGATGTTTTCACTTTTATTCTGCAATGTGTAAAATAGTTCCACGTTCTTTGTGTCAGTGTGTTTAAACTACTAACTGGTAGTATAGACAGCTTTATTATTATCATTATTATTATCTTCCGTTAGTAAAGACCACAAGCATAAGTAATGAGGAAGAGCACAGATTGCAGTACTGTTACAGCAGAGAGCTTTGGAAGGGAGTAATCTGAGGTCTGCACCACAGTTACTACACTGTGTATCAGTGTGAGGTCGGGGTTGCTGGGACAACAAGTGCCTGCACCTGATCCTGATCCTGAATTAGATCAAAGGAGTTTTCCGAGGAACCCCGCTTTCTCCAGCGTCATCACACTGACAAACACTCCTATTGACTGCTTAAAGGGAAAGGCAGAGAAAAAAAGAGAAAAAGACAGGGGAGAGAGGGGGAGAGAGAAATTCCGAGAGAGAGAGAAAAAGACAGATAGAGAGCGAAGGGGAAAACAGACAGAAAGAAAAAGAGAGAGAGAGAGAGAGAGAGAGAGAGATGGATAGAGAGAGGGTTTGTAGATGTTGGTCTGTCACATTCTGTTCGCTCTTCCTCACACTGAGGAGGAGTGTCCCGCAGTGCAGTGTGTGTGTGTATCCCGCAGTGAGGCAGTTGAGGAGGAGAACAGAGGAGACCTCTCTGGGATCAAAAGATCGCTCAGTGAATTCTGAAGGGTTTAAAAAAAACATTTTTTTAAAAAGTGCGAACTGTATTTGCATTTTTCTGCGAAGTGTCAGAAAACCTGCCGTTCCAGATCCAGTGCAAATCCAACAAGGGCGGAAAAAGATATCAAGTTGGCACAGGGGGTTGGCACGGTTGCCATGGTAACAGGGTGGCCCGGCTGGAGGCCGCTCCTTATGGTTCCGCCGGCCCCGTTTTGTATCGTCTCACGATTCAGAATCAAAAACAGTTTCAGCTGAAGAGCACGGGGCAAAAAAATACGGCAAAAATAACGCCCACAGTATTTGTGTTCGCTGTAATACTAAAACTTCTGTATGACTTGAACTAGCATTGCATTGACATTAACCCCTAAAAGCATCAGTGTTCACTGGCGATAAGTGTGTTGTGTTTATTTACATAAATTATTCCTCACTCGTAGCTCATTTGAACGAGCAGAGAAATTCTGTCTGAAGTGCCTAAATCTAGGAGCAGAATATATTTGATTATGATCATTATTCAAATTGATCAACTGATTGTTGAGCTTACTGTCTTGTTTTGCAGAAAAAAAACATAACCCGTCAAAAAATAACCGACAAAATATAAAGGAATGTAACTCTAATTCATTGTATAACTATGCAATCAACCAAAAATGTATATATACTTTGATAATTCAGAATGTACAGCAAAACAATAGTAACAGCTCGGATTGTCTCACATTTCTATTGGTTTTGAATCGGCAGTAAATTTGTAAATACTTTACGTTTTTACAAAACTTTACAACATTTACTTTAACACTTTACAACCAGCAATCAGCCAATTAATTGTTTTTATTTTGGTGAAGTCAGAATTGTTCACAGTAGTGATGATAGCAAACAGACGTCTGAGGAGTTTAAAAGCTCCCTTGCAGAAAGTTACTACATGAAATGGTCATGAATACACTGTCTGGCGCCAGAGACATTGATTTATGACAGTTCTGAGAGAAGATTTTGGCCTAAATGTATTTTTTCAAATTCATTCGTGGTACAAGCAGGATGTTCTAAGGCAAAATGTTACCCAAAAAATATGTATTTTTCAGATTTACCACTATTTTACCATCATAAACATCACACATAAAAACTCATATGTAGGTTGACTGGTGGTTTTAGAGAGTAAATAAAATACCAATATTTACATTACAGATGTTGCGCCCAGTGGTTCCTATCACCACCACTGTAAAGAAATCGAGTTGGTAAATGTCTAAACGAAGAACCGATTTTATTTACACCTCAATCACTGCATAACAACAAAAAATCTGAAAAATCTGTCCATTTTCACCGTCATTTTAACTCTAAACCTAAAAGAGAAATCTAAAGAGAAAGGCTACAGAAAAGCTGAAGAGCGAGCTGTAACGGAGAGAGAGAATTTATCCTCTGACCTTTTGGCCTCTCTGCTTTTATTTGGTTCGCAAATAATCTTCTCACCTTAGAGCTCACCTTTAATTAAATTACTACAGGGGGGCTCTGAGCTGTTAATTACAAAAACACACTGTGTGTGTGGGTTGGAAGATTAGCATGCAAGGGGGTCATTCTGACCTCAACTGTAAAACAAAGACATTTAAATATTCATTTCCCAATCCCTCTCTCTTTCATTCTTTCACTCTTTCATTCATTCTCTCTCTGAATGTAATAGTTAGCGGACTCACCAGCCTTCTGGCAAACTCTTTATTCTCAGAGAGGAACCCATAGCCAGGATGAACCTAGGAAAGCAAGGGAATATACAGTTAAAAAAGAAAAAAGAAGCAGCCCTACAGTCGTATGCAAAAGTTTTAACACCCCCGGTCAAATTACGTTTTGTTGATTTTCTAAGTGAAACTTAGCGTGACATTTTTTTTTTATTAATTTTGGAACATTTTCTATGTATTTGATTAGTTTAACATATTGCAGGGAAAAAAAAAACAAAATAAAAAAATTTATCATAACTTTTGCACAGGCCACATTTTATGATTAATTGTATTTTTTACAGTGTGCTAAAATCAGCAATTAAACAGTAATTGTGCATTGAAATGTGCAGAATTGTGTTCTCTGTAGAGCACGGGTTTGTGATATATTCTGAAAATACTGATGGTGAAATTAAATACTGACACTGAATTTGACCAACATCACCCAGCACTAGTAACCGTACAACTAAATCCTTTTTTTTTTGCATCAAAATGTGCAGAACTGTGTTCTGTGTAGAGGATTATATTATTTACACTTAGGAACATGCAGTTTGATCAAGTGTTCGAATCTTTGTAAACAACTGTATATTCTTAAACTTTGGAAATTTGCTTAAGGGGAAAGAATTTGAGGGACAGCAATGGCTCGTCAGCTTTTCTTGATCATAATCAGTTTGAAATTCAAGAGTGTCTTTAACCCCTTTAACCCTGAGTTTAGTTTCACACTCATCCTATTTAAACTACTTTTTTCTGCAGTTGTTTAATCGTTTTTAGAAAATACTGACTCATAGTTCTTTATTATTGCTTAGAATAACTTTTACTCTTTGTCATTTTTTGAAGATGACAGTGGGTTGAAGCACTTTTTACCAAAAAGTTCAAATTGAAAAATCACAAAAACTTACTGCAGTAATTGTATTGTGTATAATAACTTGCTGTGTAAACAGTCGCTCAAGTCATAAATGTGTATTCAATGAATTGTTTTAAATTTTAACAATTACTCTGAATCAAAACAATATTAATTGATTTGAGGTGAAATGATTTTTCATGATGTATTGAATCATCCCCTGAAGAATCATAACTGAGTCAAGCTAAGGTGGCATGATCAAAGATTTTTTTTCTTAAAGAAATTGTTTTAAAAAGGGGGAAATGAGCAAAAACAAAGTTTCTTTTCCCCACTATCTTTCTCTATAAGAGGACACTCACAGCCTGAGCTCCGGTCTTTTGGATGGCCTCCATGATGGCGTCCATATTGAGGTAGCTTTGACTGGTGGGGGCGGGGCCTACACACACTGCCTCATCTGCCATCTTCACATGAACCTGAGGGAAACACACACAAACAACAAAAATGACCATGCTAGTTCTGTAAGTTCAGTGACTAACATCCTTCAGCAGTTCTTTACTAGCACTATGCTCAGCCTTAACACATCAGTGTATAAAGGGGTAGGAGTGTGAAATATGACGGTATGTTATCATGAAAAATTGTCACAATACACTTTGCTGAGAATACCTAAGCAACATAATATGTATCGTGTTATCATGAAAATATCATCAAGTATCACGATGCTTTCGCCATGTAACCCACACTTCTAGTATACTATCATTATATAAGTACATTAAATGCTGAGATATTGAGCAAAAATGCCTGAATTTTATTAATTTTATGGCACAACTGTAGTTTATGTAGATCCCAGTTTCTACATTTTATAAATGTTTATGTATTTTAATCAGCAGATATGTACATGAAAAATATCGGACATTGAAATCAGCCCACAATTCTCATATCGGTGTATCCCTAACATCCCCACAGCCAAAACACCAGGCTCACTGACACTGATAAGATTGGTTACTTGGCTATTCAAATTTGGTATTAAATGACATGGAATTTTCTGATACGCTGTAGTCTTGAAGTAATTCAGTCAGTACCAAAAAAGAAGAGCTGACACAAATAGCTTTTTACAGGCTTCCAACATTTGTTAATAGTAATATTACTACCCTTAAAACAAAATAATTTTAAGTCTTTTTTTTAATCAAAATACTTCAGTTTCTGATTTCTGTCAAATAGTTTTACACATTTATACATCGGTTTTATGATGGATGCCCCTAAGAGGCTGAGAGACAGATGCTGTAACGTTATGTCAGATAAGGAGACAGATGAATATGACTGGATTTTTGCGCTGATACAGAAGTAATTTCACAAGGTAAATCTGTTAAAATCTTTGTTTACAATCATAGTGGTCCTCGTTCAATTCCATCACAAGAGAAATAACTTTGAAACAGGCGAACATAAAAGGACATGGTGACTTATTTCAGAGTTTTACAATAAATTTGTATAAACCTATGACCGTTCACATCTTGTGTGATCAGTTAAACCTATTAGCTATCCTGCTGTCTCTGTCTATCTCTGTCTCTTAGCTCCATGGCAGCTACAAGAGTGACTGAAGATGCTCGGTTTCTTCACCAGAATGTCGTTCAACAGTTGAAACTGTCGCCAAACAATTTGAATCTTTGGATATTTCTCTTAGCTCAGGAGTTCTCAACATTTTCCACCTTAAGGTCCACCTATTTAAGGTCCACTAGTAAGCATGAAGGCTCACAAGAAAAAAAAAAAAAAAAATCAACACTTTTGTGCAGCACAACATGGCATGTATCTCAGTGAACATTAAAGAACAGATTAGGCAAACATAAGCTTATTTTATACCTGAAATCAGGCAGAACTGGTTGCAAATTCATCTAAATTTTTCACTCACGAGTGGACAACTGACACCTCGGGGGCAGTGTATTTTGTTTCGAGAGACAAGGGGCAAAAAGTAGATGATGTTGCTCTGTGCACCATTGTTGTATGACTTGTATTAATATTGTTTACCGTTTGAGAACATTTCATAATATATTTATTTTTAATATTATTAAGTACATTTTTTGCACTGACAGTACCATCACTGGCCCACTATAGACCACTGGCCACTCAGCACTGGCCTGAGGACCAACAAAGGGTGCTTTATGGCCCACGTGTAGTCCGTGGCCCAGTGGTTGAGAAACCCTGTGTTAATTTAATCACTGTTTGCCTTTTTAATATATTTCACTAACTTCTCTTTCTTCAGTCAAAGAAGCAGGTCGACACTGAGAAATCACAGGGGTGGAATGCAGCTGTGTTTATCCTTCAGCTAAGATTACTTAGGAATTACATGAATGTTAAAGCCTGATATCACAACCATCACTACATCACTGCCATTTTCTCCTGGTTTAATGATAAAATGTTTTGTTTAAAACTCTGAGTTGTCAGTGTTCGAGAATTCTCTCAGGGTTTAAAGCGATAACAAAAGACCAACCTTCTGATCAGTTAATAAGGACACGAACACCAACATAACAAACGAATACTGGAGTATTGTAATAATTTGAGCCAGCCCTACGTAACAGGCCGAGTAACACGCACACCTCAGTAGGAATGTGGTCGACTAATGAGGTGACAGACTTCACCCCCAGGGAGACATTAACACTGACAACTGCAACAGCAGAGCGTCAGAACAAACTCACTAACCAGCTGCTGCCCTCCACACCGCTTCACTTAACACACACGCGTTACTGAGGAGACGTGCGACACACTGCTCCTACGGTGTACTGTAGATCCGGGTCAAGGGCAAAGACCTCTGAGCTCTCTAAGATAGCAGAGGTCAGAGATGACCATCCTGGATCTCAGCACTGCATAGTATAGTGTTTTTCCTGCTCCAACACGGCAGTATCGGCTCATTATCTCACTTCACTGGATGTCAGAGCAGGAAATATATTCGGCTAAGCAGCCCTATAGCCCACCAGTACTGTGACCACCCATATCTGACTCACTTCAACATCAGTGGAAGCTCCTCAGAGCAAGAGTGCTGGTCTAGCATTGGCTCTCCTGTCCACATAATGCCATTCCTTTGGATACACTATGCAAAGGTCTTAAGACACCTGAGAACATCATATTTAAAGCTATTTAACTAAACACTAAGCACTGATTTGGTAGATATGATTGGTGGTGTGGGAACTGATTGCTATTTGGTGCTTAGAGAAAGAGGTGGGAAAAAATTAAAGCCAGGAAAAATTTCAGTAAAATAGTGCGACTCACTATAGAAAGCATTTAATTTTGGGTTTCACTCTAATACCTGTCATTCAGCTTTGCGCTCTCAGATATCCTCTAAAAGGATTGTCATTTTGGGATCAGTTAGCTAGCAAGCTTGTGCTGTGGTGTCTGGCATGCCTGGCCTGCTAACTTAGCTCTTGTTAGCTTAGCCAAAACACTCCAGTCCCAAACACAACAAAACAGTTTCAACTTTGGCTTCCTGTCACTCCAACAACAGTCACTTAACTTTTGCTCCGTCAGAGATCAGTTTATATCATGTAAATCTGTTTAAGCAGAGCAGCAACTAGTCAGAATCAAGCTAATGTCAAGTTAGCCAGTCAGCCACAAATCCACACATCACAGAGTTTAATTTCGCTTTTCTGTACCTTCAATGCCATTTACTCGACTTCACTCCCTCAGACTTGAATCATTATAATCTAAACTTGTGTCAGTGCTTTAGTTAGCCAGAATTGAACATGTTCTGTGATGGGCAGAGTTGTTATAAAGCTAGATAAGGTAATGCTAAAAGCTCCGCTCTCTTAGTTAGTAGCACTGTTGAATATTAGCACCTGTTAGACAGATGGCTTGACATGTTAACTTGCTTTAATATGCTTTAAAAATCACACACTGCCCAATAATTATACCATATACCGCAATAATATCTAAAGACTGTTTTGAAGGTATGTAAAAAGGTAGGATACCAGCCAACCCTACATTAGATTTGCCTTTTTAATTATAAGGTCACTTTTATGTATAGTGTGCTGGACAGCTTTGAGGCTGAAGCTTTAGCATTAGCTAGAAAATATTTACTAAGTTAGCATAACAGGTTAAAGTAGCCTTAAATGAGGGTTGACAGCACTATAAAAAAGCCAGCCACAATGGAAACATTTTATTCTGCAATGTAATTTTGTTCCCCTCAGTATTTGGCAAAATTGTTAACGATGCAGGCTTATAGGATATTAGTAATGTAGACTATTAAAAATGCTAGAGTGTTTCATGATTACATCTAAAAGTGCCTGGCAAACCACAATAAACATTCAAAATATGATGCTAGATAAAACTAATAGATTGTATGCCATTTAAAACAGGGTAAATTAATAATAAAAAGGCCTCTGACACTCAGACAAAGACAAGGTTGAAGTTAAAATACTGATCCCATGAGCTGATTTGATTGACTCAAGCTGATCATTTTCATAAGTTTGAAGCATGAAGCATCCCAGGCCATCATTATAAGATGACAGTAGCTGTGACATGTAGTACTGGGCGATACTTGGTCTATAATCTGTACACTGTGAACTGCTTTTCAGTTTAAGAAATATTATTACTTTTTTTTTTTTAAGATCCATGATCCATTAATTTTATTTATTAATTAATTTTATTTTATTTATTATTAATTTTATCTGGCACCATGATACTGTAATACATTCATAAATTATTGCAATACTGATTTATATCAACGTCACCCAGCACTAATAACCTATTTACTGAATAACCGAACCGTTTTTCACATTTTCATTTTTCATCTGGAAGAATCAGTAAATCATCATCCAATCATATTTTCTGGATCCAAAAAGGAGAAAGAGATTTTTTTTTAGTTACAGTCACCAAGATCCTCTAACACTGAGGTCTTTGACGCTTGCGGTCCTCCAGCCATCTGTGAGGTCAGTGGTTTTACAGTGTGTTAAAGCAGGTCATGTGTGTTCTGTCTGGCTCCTCTCTAACCATCAGGGCTCCAGTCCTTCAGACCATTTGTCTCTGGAGCCCAATAAACTCCCAATACGTCTGGCAGCGTGGGAAGGGTTTACCCACAGCAACGAGAAGAAGGTTAACTTTCGGCTTCTTTTTAACCTGAGGCAGCGAAGGACAGTCTCCATAAAAAAGGAAACAGCAGTTACGTTTACAATTGACTTCTGTGTCCAATAGAAATGGTGGAATGCAGTGAAAACACACTGTGTATTCCATTGATTCATATCGTCGCTGTCGAAACAAAACCTCCAACGTCTCAAATTGTGAAAAAAAAATTATCACAAATGGACCAACAGAAGTGGAATAGAATAAAATTGTTACACTAACCTCTATTGAAAGTTAAGAATGTTCTTTGCTTCCCCTGTAAAGATAATGTTTTCTCCAAACAGTGACCACATGCATAATGTAGTGAAAAAAGTACATATCGCTGCTGTCAGAAGAAAACCTCGTATCTCCATTTTTGTCATTTTTCAGTTTTTGACATAATTTGAAAATGTCAGATGTCTTTTAAATTGTGTATAAATTCCATAAAGGATAGACCAAAAGAAACGGCCCAAAATTACTTGGAAAAAATTCTGGTTCCATTGACTTTTTATTAAATTAAAAGTAAAGTTTGTTTTTTCCTTTTCCTGTAAAGTTACCATTATGGAGATACGAGGTTTTCTTCCGACAACAGCGATATATAAATGTACGCCAACACTAGGATCTGTATTAGTAGGCTATGTTCATATAAAAGGCACATTTGATACTCCTAATTAAAGACAAACACCTTGAAATAAAGCGCATAACCACCAGTTAGCGGCATGCAAACATGTTATAAACACACACTTGCCTTACATTGTGTCGAGTTGTTCAGTAAACTCAAACTAGACTTACTTATGTGGTTTCTGACACTCTATGACAGTGTTTCTTATTAAATGACAGGCAAATTCGGGCTTTAAGATTGCTGCTGCTACTGCTTTTCGCTATACGCAATACAACAGCAGAAATCGTAAGGCCTGAATTTTGCTTGCACTTTTTTAAAGTTTTCAGTATTTGCAACACTTTGCTTGAACCCACTGATACGACAGTGCCATAAACATGTCATGGAAGATGTCAGGTTATCATGACAGATTTTGTTCAGAGGTATGAGAGTGTCATATTACTATTACAAGCAATCTTAATGAAATACGTTAGAATGTTGGATGTCCTGAAAACGTGTGGCATATGCTAAATTTGGCCATGTACTCTAGCTAGCCAACATCACATTAAGCTTTATGATATATGGCAATAATAACATGACATGTTTATGGCATGGTTTTGTTGATGTTATGTAGCCAGTAAAGTGTGACCCAGTTTTATTTAATGATATTGCTTTAAAAAAACTATAAGAGGAAAACAGAAAATTGAATACATTTGATGTTTGTGCAATAACAGCAGTTCCTAGATAAGAGCTGATAAGCACTGTCCTATGAAAAAAAGCTCCATGATGTAATACATACATTACTGTGGAAAAGTCTTAGGCATCTGAGAAAATTATAAGGAAAGTCATTTTTCTGGAAGTAAGCATATCTCTTAAAGAAGAAAAACACTAACATTACTATAAACAAAAAACATTGTGATCTGATGCATCAATGTGTCAGCTTATCCATTTCCAAAGCTCTGCTCGAGGAGTTACCATCAATACACAGTTTATCTAATTCTTTCTTTATAAAATATGAGGAGTGCTGCTGATGGAATTTAACCAACCCATGCAACAGAGTTCACTGAGAACCAAACCTGTCAGGAACCAGAGATGAACTGTATTTTCCTAACCAACATATTTATATTTAGGGGAAAAAAATTGCATTTCTTCTAATGTTATAGCATTTTATAAGCAAAAAACAGTTATTGTAAAGATAAATAGCTTTAAACAGTTTTTACGGTTGCCTATGACTTTTGCACAGCGCTGTATGTGAGAAGACACAGCACTGAACATCAGCCTCACTGTTTAGACCTAAACTATTAACCTTAATGAACTCTAATATGGTCTGTATGTTGGTTCACATTTCTAATCATCACTCTTACAACCACAGAACGTACATATTAGTTTCAAAGTAGATACTAACAGATTCATAACAGTTGCTGACAAATTCATAGCAGATGCTGAATATTAAGTCATAAATATTCAGTAATAACTGAATAGTATGGCAGCAGTTTAAGAAGTTTACCCCCCACAAAAAAAGAACAAGTCCATCCCAAAAGCCCAGCAAATATGGACTAAACTGCTCTTGTATGCGTACAGGCAGCTCCCCTGCTGTTCTGTTAAAGGGAATCTTTATTTAGAAGCTCTTTAGAGGCTTCCAATCAAATGCACAACATCTCCCCCTGCCCCACATTCCCCTCCCCCAATTTGGACTTCAGCAGCAGGGGGCCTGGTGTGAAAGACCCTCTCCATGCATATGGAAGAGGGGGATGACTGATAGCCATCGCATTACGGGGGTAGAAACAGCCCTCCATGAGCTTTGGGGGGTGGCAGGGGGCAGGACAGTGCTGGTTTTAGTTACCTGAGTTATAACAACTTTTACATAACTAAATCAACCGAAACTCTGACTTTTCACAGGGCTGCCAAGATTGGTTCATTAAACTCGATTACTTGACTGAAAAAATGGATCATAATTTTACTTCTTGACGAATCAGAACTGATTAGGTATCATTTTGTATGATGATTATATACATTTTAAATTCTTCTACCACTCATACATTAATAAACAGATCCTGAGGGACACCCATTTATATGCATTTTATTACTGTACATAGTGTTTCTAAAGCTTTCTGGCTTACTTTTTTTCCATTGAACTATATTCGAACCTTTGAAGAATGCTGTATGTTTTGTAATTGATTAATAAAGTCTATTTTTGATGGGTCTTTTTTAGAAAATGGATTGCTTGATTAACCCTTTAAGGATGACACAAAGTGTAGATAATTCCACTGTTTAATCTGCCCTTCTCTGGTCATTAAGTGATGCCTCAGCACTGTTGCTGCATTTATTTCACATTAAAAGCCAAAAATAAGAGTAAATTTGTATTTATTTTGTGTCACAAACTATACTTGCGAACATTTAGCTCATGTAGCCTTTTAATCATTACTTTGATTAAACAAAATAATAATAAGCATTTATCTATCTGAACTGCATCCTAAATGAGTTTGGAAACAGCCAACAGTAAAGAAAGGAACAGCAAAAGATGACACAGTGCATCTTTTATACAGTGATAGGAAACACGGTAGCACACATAAACTCAGATTCAACAGGCTGATGATTCATGGAGCCATCGGCACTTTCTCAGGATGGATCGCAAGCGAGACGCTCGGCCCAACAGCCTTATTTATCATAGGATCTCATGTGATCGACAGTGACAGCCCTAGTTTTACAGTTTGGAACCAGAAAGTCAATGGCTAATTTTACACTGGTTGCTTTGTGTGGGTGGAACACACTCACCGAACTTGAGTCCACGTCACTGTGCACAGCGACGGTCTTGATTCCCATCTTCTTGCATGTTTTAATCACCTGAGGTCAAGCAGAAGAGTCAATTAATGTTTTAGAAGATGACAACACTTTCTGGGCTTTAGTCAGTCTCTACTGAGTGGGTTTCACATAGGCCTGTGGAGGCCTTAGCTGAACTGGATGTGAACTGATTTGAATGTGATTTGGCCATCACAATTACAACCAATACTATAAAGACAACACTGTCCAAACAGTGCACTGTATGTCCAAATGTATCCAGACACCCCTTCTAATGAGTTAATTCAGCTACATTAAGGTGTCATAAATGTTCAACTGAGCACTCACAGCTGTATAATCTCTAAAAATAATCGCTAAAAAAGCCTTGCCTATAGAATGGGATGCAGGGCATGAGTCTATGATCACTGAGCCCAAAGCCAAGTGTCAGCTAAAGAGGTATAAAGACAACCACACCTGTAACTGTCAAAGGAGCTACAGAGGCAGGAAATACACATACAGACCACTTACCCTGCAGGCGATCTCTCCTCTGTTTGCAATGAGGATCTTATCAAAGGTCTGCAGGAAGAGAAAGAGGACAGACAGCGATTCAGACATTTGTTTTGACAACAACTGATTTGTCTGCTGTTTGTGTACCAGCAAAAAAACTTTCTCTTCTCCACATTCTGTCCCAGTGACACTGAATGACATACTGTTATCTTTAAAATGAGCAAAAATGCTTCTAGATGGTACTGTTTTGGCTATTTGATGTACTTTTGTTCATTTCAAATCACTGTACACAACACAGGAACAAGTCTATTTGAGATTAGAGAACAGTTTAATACAGTTTTGAGGCTAAGCGTGTGATGATATAGGCAGGCAGTTAGCATGATGCTGATTTCCAGGGTATAAGCTTCCATTATTTGTTGGCTACATTAGCATAAAACTAAGGAAGAGCAGTGGAAAATACTTGAGTAATTGTACTTGTAATTGTACATTCTTTTGCAAGATTTGAGCATTACTGAAATTGAGTACTCATACTCGATTACACTTCTTTTTACTCCTTACATTTTTTCATTTAGACCTTCAAAGTACAAATTTCAGGAGGACAGGAGATTTTTCTCTTTTTCGCTCACCAATCTGTTGAGTTTCTGCATGTTTTAATTTACTGTTTCTGTTAAAACAGCTGACGAACTTCATATCAGTGCAAACGAAACAGCCAAAAAACCATGTTAACTGATCTTTGGGTAAGGACTCATAGTTTCCATTAGCCACCTCTCCACAGACCACCACATCACTCAATATCAAACAAAGAAAACATCTGTTAAAATCTTAGCTTTTTACTTTTATATGCTTGAGTATGTTTTAAAAGAGGGGGTGGGCAATATGACAATATTTTTTCATGGTCATGATAAATTATATTACAATATACTTTCTGAGCATATTGTGGATTTCATCAGTAGTTAAAAGAACATTGACAAACCACAAGTTTTATTACAAAGTGAGCACAATTTGGTCTGTTTAATTGGATTTATTGCAGTCGGTAAAACATTAAATAAAAATCACTGCAGTTGTACGTTTATTATTATTATAGTATTTTTATAAGTGGCGCTTCTGGTTCTATTTTGTCCGTTACAACTTATTAAATATAAAGACTATCATATCGTGTATCATGAAAATGTCTTGAAATATCATGATATAATATTTTCACCATATCAACCACCCTGTTTTAATGCAGAAGTTTTTTATGTTTACTGGAGTATATTTTTGGCTCTATACTTACAATACCCATACTTCTACTTAAGTATGTTTTCTTTGTAGTTTCTCCACCTGTTAAGAAACAAACTGCAGATACTATCTTGGCTGACTGACTACATTTCAGGTAAGGCAAAAATGATATAAATTTGATTTTCTTTTCACAGAAAATATAGTGTGACATAATAAGCTAAAGTTCTTTGTTCTGTAGCCTACTAGGCTCCAGAAAACACAAAGAAAACACTTCGGAAGCATACATTTCCTACAGCGTTACCGCAGATAATGTGAGTAAAGTATTTACAATCTATTATATACAATCAATCGATTGTACAATTTAAAATCATGTGTCCATATGAGCCGAGCGGTACGTCTACATTTAACTTCCTGTCCTTTTGACCAAAACAAACACAATATTTACCCCAAAGCACGTTCTCCCCATTTGTTTACACTGAGTGACTCTTACTCTAACCCGGCACCCTCCCAACAATACACATATCCACAGCCTCTGGGCATTGGCTGTTTGTTTGAAGGAGGCAGATCAAAGTTCTAAGATGCTGGCATGTTATTTTGTATTGGCAATCGAGCAGCTAAAGGTTTCACTTCAAAAGTAAAGCATTGCGTGAATGTGCACGTGAACGAGACCTTCCAAATAATGCATCCATTCATTTTTGCTCCATACTTATAAAGATCAGATATCCATATTTATTTGCAAATGAAAGAGTTGTAGATCATTATAGCTAGCTTTAAAGTCTGATCTATATGAACCGATCTCAGTCCACTTGTGAAGTCTGACTCATATGAACCTGGCTCATATGAACCGATCCCAAATCAGCTGTAAAAGTCTGGAACGTATGAACTCAGGTGTAAAGTTTGACCCATGTGAACTGATCCCAGATCAGCTGTAAAGTCTGACCCACACAAACTGATCCCAGACCAGCAGCAAAATCTGCCCCTTGTGAACTGATCCTAAATCAGCTGTAAAAGTGTGGAACATATGAGCTGATCCTAGATCAGTTGTAAAGACTGACCCACATGAACTAATTCCAAGCCTGTAGTAAGGTCTGGCCCACATGAACTGACTCCAAAACAGCTGTAAAGTCTAGCCCTCATGAACTGATCTCAGACCAGCTATATAGTCTGACTCATACAAACTGATTCCAGGTCACTTGTAACGTCTGGCCCGTATGAACTGATCCCAGACCACCTGTAGAGTCAAGCCCACATGATCTGATCCCAGATCAGCTCTAAAGTCTGGTGCATGTGAACTGATCCCAGACCAGTTTTAAAATCTGGCCCACTTGAACTGACCCCGGAGCAGCTGTAAAAGTCTGACGCTTATGAAGTGACTAAAGATCAGCTGTGAACTTACCTTTTCATTTGGGTCGTAAACAGTGGAGTATTGAGCATGGCAGCTTATGACACAGCACTGTGGCCGCAGGGAAGCGTGCTACAAACAGAAACAGTCATTTTGTTAACAGCGATCTCAGATCAGAATGTGTGTCTTACATAATGATTAAAAACAAACAAAAGATGAAAAGTACTGAATCTAGATCCCACATGAAAGAGCAGCGTTAACTAGAGTGATAACACAGGCACAAGAACTGTGCTACAAATAAATACCCGAGACCAAAGAGCATAATAGCTTTCCAGTATAAAACATCTGGATTGTATGAACCTAAAATGGACACAGCTGAAGGCCATTAAAAGTATCCAAAACGGAAAAACCCTGCTATTGTAACCCATTCATGTCCAAGAACTTAATTTAGTATGATAAGGAATGTGCCACAGAACCTGTTATAATTAGCCTGATTGATGAAGTTTTGTATAGTTATACGTTAGATAAACATCTAACAGCTGATGTTTATCTTTTTTGATTGTCATCTTCATGTATTTGTTTTCACAATCAAATTTGAATGTTCTATTGTTTTGTAATCTCAATTTTATTTTACTTATTAACTGAAAAAAATCCCTTTTTAGCCACACTGAGCGATTTAAAAATGTCTTCAGATTTCTTCTCAGGCAAGCTCAGAGAATATATAGAGCAAATGATGAATTGGATAAGAAGACAATAAACAAAGGCATCTGACAATGCTAGCAATCGCAAAGAGTCATTTCACAAGACTGGCGTCAAATGGACATGACAATATGATACGATCTCTGGCTAAACTGACCACAACACCCCCTGTTATTAAGGTTACACCTTCTAACACTAATTGCATTACTTGTCCATGAATGTGTCTATTTTGTATGATGCGGTAGACAAATTATGCTTGACTGACCCTCTGAGGTCTGGAGAAAACAAAAAATGGCATTACACAACCATGCTGAATGAAAGCAAAAATGATCAGCTCTTGACCTTGGCTCCTGTGCTGACTTAAATGATGTAATTTACTCTTTGTAACAGAACATTATTTTAATGGCTGAATACGTTGGTGTGATGAAGGAGAACGCAAAACTCAAGGACACAGCTAAATTCTAATAAATATCTTAAATGTAAAGTTTTCCTATTAAGTTAAAGACAAAACAAACATTGTAGCATGGCAGTGGTCTGATTTTAATACTGCGATAAAGTTAATATCTTTTATATAATAATATATCGAATAGAATTCTGAAACATGACAACACTTAAAACATGTCCCAATAGTATGTTTGATTAAAGAAGAGAGCAGAAACAGTCCTGTTTAATTTGATTTAATTAGTAAAGCATGGTGTGTGAAATTTTGAATACCAGTAATTGGATTCATAGTTTTTATGGTATTTTTAACATGTGTCACTTCTTCATCTGTTCTAAATCAGATGTTAGAAAAACAATTGTGACACATTGTGTATCGTAAAAAAAATCCTAAAGTATTGTTATATTACATTTGCCATATCAACCACCTCTACTGTCTATATGAACATGTAAAATTCCAGTATCACTAAAATGTATAAATATGTTTGATACACACTTATTAGTACGGAGCCCCTAAGGGGCCGTAGTTAAAAAAAAAAGAAGTAGTTAATGACATTGCGTTCCCTCGCAAATAAAATGCATTTCCTTGCAAATGTTTTCCGTTCCCTCGCAAAATATATGCTCGTCAGACAGCAAGCAAACGTAGGACCAGAGATGCCCAACGACTTCGCCTACATTAGAGCTTTGTTTTTAGCATATTTAACGTTAAAAACTGTTTTCCCAGTTTCTCCAGTCTGTGCTGAGTTTATTCAGCAGTTGTTCTCTGCAGTCTCCGTAAATGGAGCTTTTACTGTACGAGGACACTCAGCCTCAGTTTGAGTCACTAGAGGCATAATCATGTTTGATTTTGAGAAGCGACACGTCTTTATATTTCAATCCAAGCTCAACATAAAATTCAATGAGCTGCTTCAAGTCTGAGCTTATGCAAAACACAGCTTTTGCAAGTGAATGCAAACCGCTGCATCGTAATGCAAAACACATTTGCGAGGGAACGCATTTTATTTGCAAGGGAACGCAAAACATTTGCGAGAGAACGCAATGTCCTTAACTTTTTTTTTTTTTTTTACCACGGCTCCTTAGGGGCTCTGTATATAAGCATATTTTATCACTCCACTGCCACTTTTTTTTAATTTCTCGGTTAACACCGGCTGTCCGGTTGTCTGAAATGCTGCCCTTTAGCCGGAGAGGTTCTGTGCGTTTGCTGACAGAGAGATTTAAAGTCTTCAGACCGCCAGAGCCGCTTCATCAGGACGGTCTGACATTGACAGAGTAGGTTGGGGAGCTATCGTTTAAACCCGGGAGCGGCACTAATCAAACGGCTGCGTTTCCAAACACACGGTCACCTGCGATGCCCAAACCAGCCTCTCTGGAGATCAAGCAGGCATAAAGAAGCGCGCTTATCAGTCAAATAACATCTCCATTCAGACCTGCTAAGTGGCTAACCCAGCTAGCCTCCCGCTCGTTTCTGCAGAATTAGGCTTTGTGGCGCTCCTCACTGTAACTCAAAACCTCCAACTAAACCTCGAGATAGTCAGTACGATATTACGGCCGCGCCTCAACACGCAGGAATCAAACTCTCACCTTTACAGCACGCAAAACTCTCTGAAAGGCAGGAGTGACTCTGTACGCCGCCATATTGGCCGCCGCTGCTGGCGCTACGCAGCGACGACGTCACCAGACAGAACGGTGGCTCCTTCCAGCCAATCAGAATGCTGATACTGTTTGAGGCGTTTTCCCTTTCGTCCAATCATGCTGCTGCATTTCTTCGCTCCTTAAAGGGGAATTCTATCCAATTTTTCAAATTATTCAATAATTCAGTGGTTGAGTTGTATTTCAATGATTGAGATGTAAACAGAGTCACTCAGAGTGGTTTGATTTGAAAGGGTTTATTATGGAGAAACTTACTGACTCTGATTTCCTCACAGTGGCAGTGATAGGAACCAGGGGTCACCATGTCTACAACACAAATATAGCTCTGTTATTTACTGTGCGAAAACCGACAGCGAACCTGTACATCTTCTGAGTTTTCATATGTAGCATTAATGATGATGAAAATAGTGAAAAATCTGAAAAAAGAAGGTTTTTTACCTTACAGCGCCCTGCATGTGCCCCTCCAGCATGAATGGAATAAAACAAATGGATTAACATACACTTTAAGCCAAAACTTAAAAAAAAAGAATCGATCATAAAACAACGTCTTAGATGTCAGGCAGTGTATCCATAGCCATTTCATGTAATAACGTTCTGTGAGGGAGACTTTAGAGGTGGACATCTGGTTCCTATCACCACCACTGTAAAGAAATCTGAGTCTGTAAGTTTCTCTACAATCAACTATTTCACATCAAACCACTCTGAATGACACCGTCCATCTCAATGACTTAACTATGCAGACATCTGGACAAAATGGACTTCCTAGTAAAGTCTGATGTCTTTTCTAAATGAAATAATTACACACTGGTCAGATAAAGGATAACAGAGTGATTTAAAGGACATGAAATAGATGTAGTCTTTCATCATTGTTTTCTTTGGATTCATATAATGATCACTTGTCATTAATGCTTTGATGTCATTTTTTGAAATGTTCAATTTTCCTTCGTCCTCATGTTGTTTGAGCTTGAATGTAATGGCTAAAATGTGAGTTTTTATCACTAAATTTACTGTATTTGGTCACAGAGGGACACTGTGTTTTTTCAACAAAACAGTAGACAATCCAGTTTTGATTGCAAATAAAGGGAGTGAAAGCTATGTGTCGTCAAAATATTGCAAATGTGCACCGTTAAATGTTTACTGAAGTTATTGAACTACACAAGATATTATCACTTTAGATCAATCCATCAACAAGCTCTGTAGCATTTTCATCAAATCTCATCATTTCTAAAGGTAGGAATTTAAACTTTAATTGGCTTTAATAGGTGTTTTTAATAGGAGTTGAACTTTAATTGGCTTTAAGTCGTAGGAATGCCTCAGAATAAATTTACGAGGATTCATTTGAAGAAAATAACTTAATATTTTTTTGTTATGTTGAGTTCAATTATGTTGCAAAATTACTGAAAGAGATAAAATTGTATTTTTTCCTCTGCAGATGTGAATGTGATCAAAAATGTCTTTAAACAATCAGTGAGGAAATGCATTTGTATAGACTGCACTCAGGATGAGCTTATTTTAAAACAGTTCATTAAATGCTAATACTAAAAGCTGCTCTTGTAATCCTAAACCTGCATTTACAAAATAAAGGTCTTTACATGTGTAATTTCTTGCCTATTTCCTGAATATTCAGAATGACAATATATTAAGTGAATTACTGAGAAATTATAATTTGTAAATGTAATAATAAGTTAATTAAATATACTTATAAGGCATAAAGTTTAGTAAAGAACAAGAACGGAAGACCCCGCTGGTTGTTTCTTATGAAGCAGACAAAAAACAGCACAGGTTTTTTCACAAATATGTCTTTTATTTCTTTATACGTTTTTCTTTTTTTACATAGGCTATCGCAAAAGTTTATATCTTAAAACTGAGAAACATTATTTAACAAAACACTTAAGCACAACATCACTGTACACATTTTTTGGGTCAGAAAAAAGTAACATAAATATATCTTTGCATCTTTATAAACACAGCACTCACTGATTTCCACAGAACATCACCATAAAATGGCACGCCAGATACATCTGTAAAAACATTTGTCACTTTTATCAAATCTTACATAATAAAAGTCCCACAGATTTTTTTTTCTCCTCACGAAGTAAGTGTCCATTTTCACTTCAATTTTGGCAGTTTCTCCAGTCGGAGTTCATATATACTCTGTACAAAAAGAGTCCTCAGAGCCTTCAGGGTGTACTGTAAACTTTTCTGAACATAAGATCCTGATTTATTACAGCAAAACACAAACACAGAGTACATCCATCTGTCAGGCATTAGAGAAAAGCTCATATTCATTTCTTCATAAAGTAAAAAAACAGCCTTCATTACATATTATACAAGGATAAGAGACTCTCCTCCGCCTCCGCTCGCTCCAGTGCAGTAGTGATGAATAAAGTGGTCTAAACCTTCATTAGTGGTGTATGAACAGTACTTTGGGTCTGTGTAGTTCCTCTACACGTACCACTCGCTGAAGTTGTTGTTGGGGGGGTCTGGGGAGAGAACGTCCTGAGCCTCAGAGCCTGGAGAAACCACACTGGAGGAGTCATAACCTGAACTTCCTCCTGGAGAGCAGTCCTCCTTCAGTGCACTCTGCTCATCGTGAACCTGCAGGAAAAGGGGAGGGGCGTGTTAGTTTATATAGTACTTCATATGTACATGGATCAGTAACATAAAAGAAAAGTAAAAAAAATTAATCTGTTAAAACTTTTATTAAAATTTTTTATTTTTTTCTGTTAATTTTTTTTTTTCAAATAATGTAAATAGGTGATTTAGGCAGTTCATTTAATTTTATTTTTATAAGTAAATAAATAAACTATTTAAACTATTAAAGTAGTAAAGTCACATGGTCACCGGAAAGCTTTCACTGAATCACCAATTAAGCTTTAAGCGAGTGAGTAAACGATATAAACACAACTTATGATTTCTGTACAAATATACATTTTTTGTGGTTCCTTGTATTTTTATTTCTTTGTTTATTGAGGTTTTAGATGCAAAACAGTCATAATAATTTTTTATATGACTCTCAATATGACTATTCAAATCTCTCTATATCCCTTAAACAGGCTGTTTTTGGTTACTGTACATTTAAGACTGCTATATGTAAATTCTCTCTGTTCTGATTGGCTGTCATGTAATGTGCCTTGTTCAAAAACAAGGCTAAAATGCTGCTTATAACTTCACAACATGAACTTCATCATAACATGAATCTGTTGTAGGCTGAACAGTGTATAGGTAAATGCATTTTTGTGACATCACAAAAATGAAGAATTGAAAATGTTTTTTTGATGATTTTGCAGTCTAGTTTCCATATATGGACGACTGTACGGACGGAGATGATATGTTTTGAAACTTTAGCAATGTTTACATACTACATCAAACCGTTCTCTTTGAAAAAGTGAGTTTTTCCATGATATGGGCCCTTTAATGCAGAGTAAACAGTGTTAAAGTATGGTTTAACAGGCAGCACGAGATAAGGAGAGTCGCTTGCCTTCATGTGTTTCCTCAGGGAGCTGGGGTGCGTGTAGGATTTGTCGCACAGCTTGCACAGGTACGGCTTGTCCGCCGTGTGGACGTGCATGTGCTTCTTCCGGTCACTGCTGTTGGCGAAGCGCCGGTCACATCCGCTGAACTCACACATGAAGGGCTTCTCGCCTGGAAAAGAGAAAAATACACAGAAAGAAAAACAGACGTTAACTTATCATGCAGTCCAGAAAGTCGACATTTAGAGAGAAAAAAGTGGGATGATTACTAAAATACTGGCATGCCTTGAAGAGTTGATTATGCTCCTGTATCTATTTACTTTTTTGGCTGTGTGGCAGTGTGTACAACTTCAAACGAGCTACAAAACTAGGTTAACTTTGATTCCACCAAAGTACGGTCCCTCTTTACCAGCGCCAAATCTGCGGCCTAAATAGAGGAGCAATTCACACCCACTCTGCATGTTTAAAGCTGCTTCAGTACCCACTTCTTTCAGGACAACACTGACCTCACGCAACACTGGAAATGTCATTTTAGCACCTTGTCTCGCGCCTCCTGACGACTGGAAATTGCACATCTAATCTCACATGCTTGTACACGGTATGCGCATTTGCCCAATTCAGTAAGAGCCAGTGGAGTGATTTCTCTTAGATACACTGTCCACTTTATTGGAAACACCCAATTTCTGTACTGTAGCCCGTCATGCACAACGTATCACCCACCCTGTACCACATTCATCAGTGGTCAGTTTCTGTCCAGTCCGCTCTTGACCAGATTTCATTTGTTTGGTGGTTCAGCACAGCACTGACATACTGACATGGCAGCGTGTGTTGCACTGGTATTACTAGACTGAGCCTAAGCCGCCAGCCAAAATATCCATCCAAGAGCGGCTCTGTGGTCAGAAACTGTCTCTGTGGGCAGAGTATTACATGAATGTTCCAATGTATTAAACCTAATCTCTGTCTGCAGTATCTGAAGTGTACAGCTGATTAACACAGATGATAATTTTGGTACATTTGCCTGTACTTAGTGGCAGAACAAACAACATGGACTTATAATAGAGTTTAATGGGCAGAGGCCACAGATTCAGCCAATAGAGATCAGGTTAAAAAACGTTGGACTGTTTCTTTAAAATGACGTTTAACACTTATATGAACTTCTGCCTGAATCAGCTGAGTGTTTACCTGATAGATAGATAGATAGATAGATAGATAGATAGATAGATAGATAGATAGATAGATAGATAGATGTTTCTAACTCACCTGTGTGCGTTCTCTTGTGTATCTTCAGGTTCTCGGAGCGCGCGAAGACTTTGCCGCATCCGGGGAACGGGCACGCGAAGGGCTTCTCGCCGGTGTGCACGCGCATGTGGTTGACCAGCTTGTACTTGGCCTTGAAGGGTTTGCCGTGGCGCGCGCACTCCTCCCACCGGCACACGTGCTGCTCGCTGTGCTCGGAGGGTCCTCCGACGTGCTCGGCGGACACGTGCGCCACCAGCTCGTGCATTGTGCCGAAGGTCCTGCCGCACGGGCGCTCGCGCTGGTTCTCGCGCTCCGTCCACCTGCACGCCAGCTCGAGCTCGCGCTCGGCGCACCGCTGGCGCACGTAACGGAAGAACGGGTGCGCGTGGTGCGCGCTCACGTTCACGTTCAGCCCGTACTGGCCATACGGGTCGGCGGCCGCGGCTGCAGCGGCTGCGCGCGCGAAAACGTCGAGCCTCCCGTTCAGCGCGTGGAGGTGATGCTGCTGCTGCTGGTGCTGCTGCTGCGGCTGGTGGTGCTGCTGCTGCTCGTGGAAGCCCGGGAAAAGCGCGTGCCCGACGGCGCCCTGGTGGCCGTCCGTTTGCGCGTGCCCGTGGCCGAACATCGCGTGCTGCTGCTGATGGTGATGGTGAGCGGCGCTCGCGCCGACGCCGGCCTCGCTGAACCCGCCCGCGCCGCCGCCGCCGCCGCGCAGGAAGAAGTCCGCGCGCGCGGCACCGAAGTGCGCGCGCGCGCCCAGCAGCCCGTAGCCCTGAGCGAGCTCCAGCTCGCGGTCGTGGGGCGAGAACGCGCCCGCGTTTAGTGAGGACAAGCCGGAGAGCTGGTGATGACCGGAGTCCAGTAACATGGCGAGGAAATTTAAAAAGAGGATCTAAACAAAAACAGCCTGAAAATGAGGCACAAAAGCAAATAAAACGTAAAGAAACGAAAAAAAAATCAAAGCAAAGAAAAAACTGATGAAAAACGCAAATAAAAATGAGGGAAATATTACAGAAAAAGGCAAAAACAAAACAGAGGCGAGTAAACACGAACTAAAGTCATTTAAAGCTCGTAAAAACAGAGCTGAGGTCCCGATCACGGAGTCAGAAGCAGGTTTGTTTGAAGTGGTCAGAAGTGGTCTCCGCTCTCGTGCGTGATAAGGCGGTCAGCGGTGACGCAGCGCTCATCTGGACCCTCTGAGGCTGAGTACAGTCCGTGTTTGGATTCTGTGCTGCTCCGCTCCAGTTTGGCCCCGTTTATCTCCTGCTTCCCCTTCACGCCCACTCTACAACCGGACCCCCGCGGCTCGAGCGCCGCAGTCTGATTGGCTGAGACACAACACTAATCCGCTACTCTCAGCCAATCAGAGAGAAGGTGTCCGTGAGTAAGCGCAGAGACTCAATGGCCAGCATTTCGTGTCAGTGCTTTAATGAGGAGAGAGAGAGAGAGAGAGAGAGAGAGAGAGAGAGAGAGAGAGAGAGAGAGAGAGAGACTCTTTGTGGGGAGCAAAGGTCCACAGGATTATGGAAAAAAGCGAAAAACACTCAAAACGTTGCAATTTGGGGGACATAGGAGGGGAGACGTTTCTTTCCTACACTTCAATGTTAAAAAAAAAGACACACTGTAAAAAATGCTCCTCTTATTCACCCTAAAAATGACATGTGGCGACAAGTAAATTAACTAGTTTTAATCCACCTAATAAACACTTCTTTCAATCAAAGTCATTTCTGAGTCGAATTAAACTAGTTCAGTTGGTTGTTACTACAGTTTTATAAATAGTACTGCAGTACTGTTTTTTCAAGGTTGATCTTATGAGCCGTGTTTCACGGGGCAGAGCTGATCTTTTGGTTTCTCAGGTTGGAGGCATAGTTTACCAGAAAGCCCAGTTCACAGTTTCCCCTCTTACCCCAAACTTCACACTTAGTCCACCAGGAAAGGCGTGTGTGCGTCTTTAGCTTTGCACTCTGGAGCTGCGAGGATAATATAACAGTAATGGAAGCTCACAGCTCGCTGATTAGCATCAGACTGCACGACTAAATCACCACATGCCCCCCCCCCCAAACCCTGTCCAGTAGTTCAGTAACCTCAAACAGACCTGCTCATGCGCTTTCTGACACTGTGTGACATCCCTCGCAACCACTGCTGATGTATAGATACACTGTTAGAAATACAGATACTGTGCTGGTACATTTTTCGTTCGTCAAGGTACAAACGATGTAAATGTGCCCTCAAAGGTGCAGCAGTGGGTTTAAGGTCCAACTGTGCACCTTAAATAAGTTTATCCTAGTGGAAAGTACGTATTTGTACCTTTTCATAGTCTAATGTTTTCAAACAGAACGATAAAATAAAAGCCTGGAGACGAGACGGGGTGTGTGGAGTCAATATCATTTCAGTGGATTATGGTACAGTTATGTTCCCTGACTGAAGGTACTGAGATGTACCCTTGAGGGTCCCACCCCAGTGACAAGAGGGGTACTGCCCCAGTTTGTACACAGTACCGTGTGCAGAAGTTTTAGGCACATGAAATTAGATTAAAAAGCTACTTAATTGGCAGCCAAAAAACACTAATATTAGAATTAATATAAGTAATATGAATGCAGTAATTAATCACCTTACCAATGTTACAGGTGTTCGTTTAACCATTTACAGACCTCTCTTTGTAAAAGCCCAGTAATATTTGTACTCATCATCCAACACCGGGTTTGGTTAATCAGTGCCTCATTGTGGTACATCACGTGCGCTGTTGCTGGACATAACAACAGATCTGTGTGATGGCTCGAGGCGCTGAGATGAAGTCTGGCACCAAACCTTAGATCCTCAAACCAGCTCAGAAAAACATCAACTACTTTTTTATATAGAAAAGAATGAACCTGTGTTACCTTTGACTGTATTAATGATTATTTGTATTTATTCAAATGTTTTATGGAGTTTTTGATCTATATGGCAAAGACTCACTTACTGAGATAAACACTTTGATTAGGTGCCTAAGACGTTTGCGCAGAGCCGTGTATCTATAAATACAGTTTCGTAGGAAATCAAGCGTTTTCCTCGTATATTAGCCAAAACGTTTCCCTAGGTGGGTGTGTAAACTTTTAATCGAGATCTGTTGCGTTCTGTTGCCTCGGTGACAGCATCTGGGCTGCTCTCTGATTGGTCAGATCTGCAACTTTTGAGGTTTATCATTTTAATTTAGACCAAAAGGACCCAAACAAGAGACGAGGAGCTCCTAACAGAGTTTAGTCCTAGTGCTGATCGATGCTGGACGTCCTGAGAAGATCCACTGCGGGTCAACAAGCTACTCTTTCCCTAGTTTGTACGTTTTCTTTTCTTTTTTAAACAATTTGGTAACACTTTCTATGAATGTCACCTTTGTAAGCATCCATAAACACATTCATAACATGTTATAATACATTCATAAGACATTATAAACATAGCTATAAATATTTATAAAAATGCATTATACGTTATAGTCAAGTTTATTACGTATTATGAATTGTTAACATAATACATTATAAGTACTGATCATAACTAATTATAAGAGCTCATAAGTCGTATTTGTCCGCTCTAAGTAAAGTGAAGCGTACTGTACTAAAGCCTCCTCCAGTGTTAAGAGTGAGGCTACAAGTTGAAGTATTTACTGAAGGATTTACTGAAACACTAAAACACAGTAAAGCACATTACAGGCTTCAAATGTCAGAGTTTAAACTAGGGCTGCCATCAGTGTTTTACCCAATGTGGGAAAGTCAATGTACACCACCGTTAGCTTGGTATTTGTCTTTACTTTATGCTCTCCAAGCTGGGACTGACTTATTTGGCACTGACATTATAACATGTTATTAACACCATTTATAATGCATTATATTAACAACTCATAATGTATAATAAACATGGCTATAAAGTGTAATTCAGTGTAATTCATTTTTATAAATATTTATAACCATGTTTATAATGCTTTATGAATACATTATAACATGTTATAAATGTGTTTATAGAAGCTTACAAACGTGACATTCATAGAAAGTATTATCAAAAATTTTATTTCATCTATTTATTTATTTTTAGGAAAGGTGAGGTGCTTTTACTTTTACTGCAGTGTGTTTAGACCACTCTACACACCCCCAGCCTGTGAATATGCATGTGCGCATATGCGTGTGTGTGAGTGTGTGTGCGTGTGTGCGCGCGTATGCATGTGTGCGTGCGAGTCTGTCTGTCCATCTGCATAAAGAAGTGCATTTGTGATTGAAAGCGACGCAAATCGAAAAATGCAGGACGCAGAGAGCTCAGTGAGCCCAGCTGAGTCCAGAAACACACCTGAACCGCTTCAGCCTCTCAACGCAGAAGTAAATAAACAAGTAAATAAATAAAGACTTTAATAATAATAATAATAATAATAATAATAATAATAATGAAGACACTGATGAGCTGCAGTGGTGTGTAACCCAACACCTCTCCAGTCGTGGTTTTGTCCTGTAAATGAGGTAACAGTGTTTAACAGCGCTGCAGCTCTGAGCTTCAGTCCATCTCGATGATTTTACATCCTGCATTGTCCTGTATTTTAGGAAATGTCCCATAACTCTGAAAGATTGTGTGTTTTTGCTCCGTAGAGAAGAGGGCGGGGTCTCCTACTGACGTTCAACTTGAGGAACTATTTATTTATTTGTCTCTTTGTTTGTTTGTTTGTTTGTTTACTCAGGGAGACGGACTGTATGATGATTCGTGCTTAATTTGACCAGAGACGTGAACTAACCAGGTTTAAAAGAATGATTTTAGAGGGGAAATCCACAAATCTTTCAAAATTTCTACATAATTCGATGACTGAGGGTCATTCAGAGTGGTTGGACGTGAAACGCTTCATTGTAGAGAAACTTACTGACAGGGGTCTCAATATCTGCAACACTAATATGGCCTTTTTATTTACTATCCAAACCACCAGTGAACCTACACGTGTCTGCTGAGTGTTGATGATGAGATCTGGCAGCGCATTCGGAACCATTACGGTGCAAATAAAAGAACTGTGATGGAGCTTTCAGAGGTTTTCAACTCTTCAGACGTCTGGTTCCTATCACCACCACTGTGAACAATTCTGACTGTGTGAGTTGCTCTGGAACAGAGCAGTTCACACCAAAGCACTCTGAATGATTTACATTACACTTCCTGCATTAATGCAGGAATGTTGAGAAATCAGTGGAATTCACTTTTAAGGTGCATAACTGGACCATGATAACATAAACACAACATATAGCAACATAAATACAGTAATATAGACACAACATACAGTATTATACATACAGTAATATAAACATAGCATATAGCATTATACATACAGTAATATACACAGCATATAGCATTTTACATATAGTAATACAGACACACATATAGTATTATACATACAGTAATATAGACACAGCATATAGTATTTTTCATACAGTAATATAGACACACATACAGTATTATACATACAGTAATATAGACACAACATACAGTAATACAGACTACCCAGATTATCCAGACCTGAGCGTCACACAGTCATCCTCTGGGGGCATGAATGGCTGGAATCTCCAGCATATTCAGGATATGTTGGTCGTTATTGGTCCTGTGTAATTAGTTTTTTCTGTTATGAAATATTAGCAGTATGCGCTGTAATTAGGTCAGTGCTGTTGTTTATTAAACCACTACAGTGCTTGAACGGCGCTTACTAATGTTCCCGCGAGAGTGAAGTTTAAAAGTCCTGAAGCTGCCGTTGAGCCCATGTGACAGAAGAACTGCGTGTAATATGATACAGTGATGAAACTCACCTTTTAATCTTACGATGTGATCGAGCTGAGCTTTTTCTTCAGACCTGCTCTCAGAGCAGAGAACATACAGACC